ACACTTGCATTGATTTTTTTCTTTAAATTACTAACTTTAGACTTCAGGTTCCCCTACATGACTACACTGATCGGTGTGATTAAAAGGATGAGTTAAAGAGAAGGAGCGTTTTTCAGAGACGCTGGCACTTTGAAGGGCTGTCTAACCTGTAGGCCTACCATTTTATGGCCTGAACCTTACTTAGCTTTCCTGCCATGAATCCAGTTAGAAAGGTAATGACGAGAAATACACACATGTTCCTTCTGGGCCAAGTACGGGTATTTGAGCAGAAATTTAGCCCTCAGTTACACTCACGCACACTCCCTGAAATCAACTGTCACACACACGTGACCAAGGGCAGAATCTGGCCATCAATATCCCCAATCTATATAGTAAGATTCTAGGATTGTCACTCTGAAGCCTAGAACGTCTGAGTCAGTGTGAAGTGATGGAAACAGCTGCAGGCATGTGGAGAGCTCTTTTTGTTTAGAATATCACCAGGTTTCATGGTCTGGTCCGGTCCAATTTTTAAGTTCTCAGCCATTTTGACTTTACAAATTACACCTGTGCAACAGCTTGGGCTTCCAGCTAAAGTAAAGGCTGTATCTATGCCGTGTCAACAGTCCTAGACCAGTGTAACTCAACCAATCACCAGCCTTACTCTACAGCTAATTTGCATGTAACAATCTCATTGGTTGTATGAGGGAGAGTGCACAGATGGTGGATTATTTGTCCCAGCTGCCACCATTCACCAGGTTCAATCATCACTGGAATTCAGTCATTTATGTCCAATTTTTAAGTTCTCTGCCATTTTTGGCTTTTTTTCACACGTAACTCTGACAGCATGCACTTCCAATTACTACTAGTAGTAATAATGAACTACTGATGAGGCGACTCTGGAGAATCTATAAAAGAAAATTCTTCCTGCCAATGGACTCTTCTGTTTGGCCTCTAGTAACTTTAAAAATAAATTTGATGCATATAAATAAGAACAGCATCTGCAGCTAAGATAATTAAAATAACATCACAAGAGCCCTTCATCCTCTTGCTTCAGGGCAAACATTGATCACCAGTTGGGGTCAGGATGAAATTTCCCTAGCAAGGTATTGTACATAATTAGAGTACCTTATGCTGTTGGTACCCTTTCTACTGAAGCATCTGGCATTAATCTTTTCAGAGACAGGCTGCTAATAAATGGATCTCTGGTCTGGTATAGCACTTACTATATTCATCTTCTGACTTTGACTGACAAAAGCTAAGGGATTCAGTTATGATTCTTCTTTGAGGCTTAATATTTAGCCTAATGGAAGTGGCAGGGGTGAATATGAACAAGTGATCTTGTATCTCTGAAACCACCAATGAGCCTTACATCAACAACAAAACCCAAGATCATTCATCTCAGTCACACTTTATAAATGAAATAAGTTTTTTGGGGCTGAAAATTTGTATATGTCAAGTTTTCATCTCTAAAGAACCCCAGGTGAAATTCACTCTGGTGCAGAGGGCCACCACAAGACATATCCACTGCTTCTTGTGACCTAACTGGACGGCATAGGTCTTGCACGTAGTAGTGAATATCACCCTAAAAGAACCGCATTTTAACCTGCCCTGTTATGGAATGATTTAAAATGGAAAAGCATTGCTTTAAAGGGATACATTGTGTAGGTAAAATTGCCTGTTTAATGGCACCAAACCCTCTGTCTGCAGCACCCGTGCACTAATAAATGCAGGAAAACAAACTGTATAATATTTCTCTGTCTTGCAAGATCAAAATAAAGTATTATACCAATAATTTTTGCAAGGGGTGGCTAAGAGAAAGGAACAAATGGTAAGCAAAGGGCAGGAGAACTGGTTTCTACAATAGCCAGATCAGGGAGAATGAAGAAATATTATGAAAATCAGCTAACAGAAAATGTAAGGATCTGTTATGAAATATCCCAGACCATGTTTCTCCTTGATCTTGTGCTTTTTATTAATAAACAGATAAGCTGCTGTCTGACCACAAGGCCCTTATTCTGATCTCACCTTACACCTGTGTAAATCAGGAGTAACTCGAGGGAAGTCAATCCAGCCACCCCGAGTGAACCAGATCAGTGAGAATGGACTCCAGCCTGATTATTTGATCTTAGACAGCCTATCAATATCCTCTAGGCTAAAAGCCTTTGGCAGGTGCCCAGCCAACGGCAGATCGCCTTTCTCTCTGCAATAGACTTCAAAATAAACTTGAGACCTCTCTCCTGGAGCTAGTATGGAGCAATTCTCAGAATTCCCACCAAGACCACAACGTCCAGAAAGGAAGTAGAAATACCTGAAGGCCTATGGGACATTGGTAGCTTCTTCACATGAAATGACTTCACCCTTTTTCTGCTCTTCACCAATAGCGGACTCCTGAGAACCTATCCTTGGGATTCTTCCATTTGACTAGAAACCACCCCCCAATTTTTTTTATTAACTGCATTATTCTAATTCTACACACTTTTGATTCTGAGTGGGTTCTTTTTATGATTATGATGAAAATAATTGAAGGGGGAAAGAAGTCTGATACACTTCAATCTTTTGCATGTATCTCTGAAAGTGACATTGTCAAGATAAAAATCATGGGCCAAAAGTTTCACCACTTAGTGTAAGATCCCATAGATAGTGCAGGAAGTGGAACAAGCATTGATTTGTAATACCTATTTCTAATATGGGCTAATTTTCACCGTCCTCTGGAGCATGGGGCAGAGGTAACTTGCCAGTATGAACTAGAATAAATAGTGGATTCTCTGTAACTTCAAGTCTTTAAATCATGATGTGTGGACTTCAGTAACTCAGCCAGAGGTTATGGGTCTATTATGGGAGTGGCTGGGTGAGGTTCTGTGGCCTGTGATGTGCAGGAGATGAGATTAGATGATCATGATGGTCCCTTCTGGCCTTAAAGTTTATGAGTCTAATTGGCTTAAAAACAAGATTTTCTCGAAGCTGGATCCAAGAGCTGGTATTACGCCAGATCACGCTTTGCAGTAACCCATTGCTTCTCAGGTTCTAAACTCACATGCCTGTTGCTTATTTCCAAAATCCCGTGATGGGACATACACACGCTGCGTGTCAGAGGCATTGTTTTAAAAAATGTCTGTTCATTGACTTGTGTATAATGAAGATATGTACAAAATTACAGGGGTGTCACTGGTACATTGCGGGGTGTCCTCATGTTCAAAGAATATTTTATTATTTATGGGCCTGATCTAATTCCCAGAGACGTCAACGGGAGCCTTTCCAGTTACCTTAAGGTGGGAGAGGCATTGTTCAAACCCTATTTCTATAGGACCTGATCCTTAGAAGTCAAAGGGGGTTTTGGCTAAGTAAGGGCTGCCAAGATTTGGCTATTAGCTCAATGAAAAGTGGGGCATGCACCGAAAACAAAGAATCCCAAGCTCACGGCTTCACCCCTGCCTCCGCATTTCTGTACACCCACCATTCAGATTGTGTGTTCAAACTGTGATTTTGTGTGGGGGGGACTGAGTCTCTGCAGTTTAGAGGGAGTCTTTAAAAATTTGGCCCAGAATAGCAAGGGGAGCGGAGTTAGCAACAATCCAAGCAAACCTCAGCTTCTGGTCACCACGACACTGTTTCCGTGAGGCAGGGAGAACATGAGGGGTGGTCCTCAAGTCCCCTTGGTGTAACAGGAATTCTCCACGGGAACAGTTGGCACCTTCTCTGCAGGAACAGGAACTGACATAACCTTTAATGCTATACAAAGGTTTCAGGCAGCAATTTTTCATTAGTCATAGTCCTGATTACTGAGATCCTCCATTAGTTGGTAAAGCCAGAGCCTAAGTGGAATGGGTTTAACCCCAGAGAATTAGGATTTCATGCATAAAAAAATTAAATTTTATATTTAAAGCCATCTGTCACAGACTATTTATCAGACATGGAGAATGATTTTTTCCCCCCCGTGCATAGATTTTAGCAAAGACAAGCTATGTGCATTGGTTGGAGCTGAGTCACTGACTAATCAACAGATTAAAGTATTCCGTTCAAAGCCATCATGTTGGTTCACAAACTGCTCACAATATCTCCCTATGCTGTAAGTCATGGTAGAAAATATCACCAGGATTTAGTTTCCTTATGGAAAAACCAGCAACACTGACACCTCCTTGCTGTGGGCAAAGTGATATCGGGTCCAAATGACCCCAGAGCAGTAGAGGGCACACAGGTAAACAGACATGCCAATCCAAGTGAGAAGCTAAGCAGTGTGGATAGCAGCGGTAAGACTGCCAGAAGTGGAGTAGTTAATCTGAAATACTACAGTTGCTGCATGCCTCCACACACACCTTATTCTGGGGGGAAAACCCTCATTCCAGAAGTTATTTCACTTCCAAAGTAGATTGTTAATGCAGAATAAGAAACCAGATAATTAAAAAAAAGAATTTTTTTTTTGCAGACACAAGGCCATTTACTCTGAAAAAACTAAAATTATTCTGAAAAAAACTTTCCCACGTAGACCAGGCCCAAGGAAGACACCTGAACATTAGCAGAACTTTCTCTGTGAAATATTTGATTTTTTTGCCTCAAGCAACTTTCCAATGGGTAGAAAATATCTACTGTACTGTTATCACAACTTTGTTTGCTCATATCTGTATTTTGGACCTTTGTAGGAGAATAGGAACCTATTTGTGACCTGTAAAAGAGACCATGCACTGCCGTGTCCAGAGACAGCTGGGTTTTGTAATATGGAAGCACCTATGGCCCCATTTTCATACTGTTTAGAGAGGCAGTTGTGCCCATAATTACCACAATTGCACGTGCATATTACTAATTGCACGTGCACATCTATTTAGTTAGCCACTTGCACATGCAATTTGCACAAACTGATCAAATTAGTCATGCAATTGCGTAACTAAATGTCTGAAAATCTTCCCCTAGATGTGTTTGGGTTGTGCAAATATGCCTCTTCTCGTGCTATGTAATCTCTAGTTTTTCCTCCAAATCAGCCCTTTGCAAATCATTCAGTCCATCATTTCAATTGGATATTGACCTACCCTTCGCTCCTTATCACCGTATTCAATGCCCAAGGTATCCATGGCACGGACGATAGCTGCCAGTGACTGAATAGTGTTGCTATAGACCACAGGCTTGTACTGCTTCACGTCTTCTCCGGAGAAACCATCTTCATGAATGATCCTACATAAAAAGAAATGATAAAGACCTGAGACAAATGTCATTGGCATTGAAGCGTTAGAACGAAGTTGTTTAAAAATTGATTCAATAACTTGATTGGCCTAATTTACTTGGCATTTCTTTTACTAGACCAGTGTTTCCCATTAGCAGTGCTTCAGGCTTTTGAGAGTGACATTCTAGTTTTCTTCTCACTGGCTTCATGATGAGACCTCACACCGGGTCCCGGTTTACTGCGGTTGTCTGCCTCCCATTTAATTGTACACACTTGAACCTGGAGTGGAGCTCGAACGGCTTCATATTCCAATTGTATGACAGTAGCAGCCATTGGGAGCCTAGATGAGGTTTCAGGTCCCAATCCACCTCACACTGAGGTCTATGGAAATGTTTCCCTTGATTCCAATGGGAATTGGATCAGGACTGTAGACAGCCACAAACACATCTATAATATAGCACTTACCAGGGCCGGCGGGAGGGCAAGTGAGGCAATTTGCCCCAGGCCCTGCAGGGGCCCCCACGAGAGTTTTTGGTGGGTCTTCGGCGGCAGGTCCTTCAGTGCCGCCGAACACACCCAGAGCGAGTGAAGGACCCGCTGCCGAAGACCCGGAGCTTCTTTCGCTCCGGGTCTTCAGCGGTGGGTCCTTCACTCACCCCGAAGACCCGGAGTGGAAGGACTCCCGCCGCCGAAGACCCCAGGCCCCCTGAATCCTCTGGGCGGCCCTGGCACTTACAACCCATTGGAATCACCTGCTCAATATACAAGTTTACCATAAGGAGCTCTGCCATCTGCACACCCCAAGAAGGGCTAATAACCTGAGTTAGGTCACAAATTTCTCTTGACCCAAGGGTATGTCTACACTACGGGATTAATCCGAATTTAGATAATTCGAATTTGGGAAACAGGTTGTATAAATTCGATTGTGCGCGGCCACACTAAGCACATTAATTCGGTTTTTAACCACATTAATTCGGTGGTGTGCGGCCACACTACCCCATTAATTTAACCACAGTAATTCGGTGGTGTGCGGCCACACTAACCCTAATTCGAATTAACAAAATCGATTTAGGCGCTACTCCGCTCGTCGAGGTGGAGTACAGAAATCGATTTTAAGTGCCCTTTAATTCGAATTAACTGGCTCTGTAGTGTGGACGGGTGAAGGGTTAATTCGGATTAACGCAGCTAAATCCGAATTAAAGTCGTAGTGTAGACCAGGCCCAAGACTGCATAGAAATTATACTTATGACAATAAGAACAAGGAGTCCTTGTGGCACCTTAGAGACTAACAAATTTATTTGGGCATAAGCTTTCGTGGGCTAAAACCCACTTATCCGATGAAGAAACCCTGCACAATCTCACCACACTCTGTGTAGCAGACCAAGACAAAGCGACTGAACTAAGTGTGGCACCTTAGAAACTAACAAATTTATTTGGGCATAAGCTTTCATGGGCTAAAACCCACTTATCTGATGAAGTGGGTTGTAGCCCACGAAAGCTTATCCCCAAATAAATTTGTTAGTCTCTTAGGTGCCACGAGAACTCCTCATTCTTTTTGCTGATAGAGACTAACAAGGCTACCGCTCTGAAACTTATGGCAATGTATCAGTTCTGTGCACTAGAAACCATTTGTATGGCACTGAATGCACAGGAGTTCTCTATTCTCTATTCACATGTAAAAGGTATTCGAACACCACTACCTATTCCAACTCAAACCAGAAAATATGACTTTATACTCGTTAATATAAAACCATCCAGATCTATGCCAGAGATTTTTCTCTCACTAGCTTTACACCAGTGTAGCTTTATTTGCTTTAATGGAGCTACTCCTGATTTTCTCCAGTGTTGGAAGATGATCAGGTCTATAGATCTTATGCTGAACAACTGGTCTAAATCCAAGCATATGCCGGTCTTCTTTGTTTAGGCCATAGTAATAATTTAATAGAACCTTCACTGCTTACTCAATTTGTATTCCCTCATTCATTAGTCTAGTTGCCAAAACAGACCATAATCAGTGGGAGCTGCTGAGGTGAAGCAGTGGCTGGGGACTCTGAGGGGCCATGGGCCATGTTGCGCTCTACTGCAATAACTAAGAGGAAGAGTAACAAAAACACCCATCAGGAATTGCCATTTGTGAGACGATGTAAACATACTGCAGGAGCCAAGGGGCTGTTACTGCAAATGGCAGGTGGTGTCTGGACCTGCCACAGCACCAAGGGAATAAGACAAAAACAAATGTATCCGCATAAAGGTCTTGCGTTAAGAAGAAAAGGAGAGAAAAAAACAACCTCCAAACCAATCAACACAGCCACTAATGTAAGAAATGGTGCCACCATCCAGACAGTGAAATGCTGCTAACGATGTCATTGGGGACAGTATGACGCTTTGGGTAATAGGTCGCACTGAGGATGGATGGCTCGTCGCCAAGCATGTGTGCCGTTTCTGTGTTCTTTAATGGCAATAAGTGTGACTCTTGGAGAAAGGATGGACTTTGCTCTCACCCGTGAGTGGGTAGGGGAGGGGTGGAATTGAGGACTGAGCTCACCCTGGAGTGGGTATAGGAGGTGTGGGCTTGAGGACTGAGACCTCCCTGACATTTCTGCAACCCTGAACAGATGACTTTCCAATGGAGCCTCATGCACTTACCACTCTGCACAGCCAGAATTTTATATTCATGCATGCAAGCCAAGGAATTTCATAGACAGAGCCAAACCCTGGGCCTGCTACGATGCTGTCGTACTGCTTTGGCAGAGCCATGGGGCCACCCAGTCAGCTTGGCCATCCCATTGCAGGACTCCTCAGGTGATGTAGCGCTGGATATGCTGACTCTACTTTACCACCTGCACGCTGAGGCAAGCCGCACGTCAGGCCATGGCTAGAGCTTGGGGACCCTAAGCTGCCAGAAAGGCCACTTGGATCCGCTGGAGAGTGATCAGAGCAGTGCTGAGGCTGTTGTGCTATGTGGTAGGGACTGAACCAGCCCTTGGAGACTCCCAGTATTGGGAGGCAGGAAGGTGTCAGAAAGCCTCTGCTCCCCATCTCCTGGCTCCGGTGCTAAATAGAGCTCACTTGGACCCACCCAGTGCACTCATCTGTGGGTCCAAATATGAATTTGAGTGAGTGTGTGTGGACAGGGGGATAGGCACAAAAACGGGTACATGCAAAACGGGTGAGGGCTATGTACGAGGCAGCTTTGATTAGCTTGGCGAGCTTTGCAGGGTGCATGTGTGAGGGTTGAATGGCAGATGTACAGCCTGGGACGTTTGATTTCGTTTGCTGAGCAGCAGTGCTGGCTAAAGAAACTCCTTGAGTCGTTGTAAAACCACATGGTGTGTGTGTGTGTGTGTGTGTGTGTTTGTGTGTGTGTGTGTGTGTGTGTGTGAGAGAGACGCTGGAGAGGATCTTGCCAGATGTATTCTGTAAACCACGCAAATCTATGTAGAAGCTATATTTTAAACAGAGGGAGGGACAGGTAGTAGTAGACGTGGGGGAATGACTGCATCAAATGCTTTAATGGCTTTTCATTTCTATTGTCATGGCTTTCTTGAATTAACACTTCAACTCACACAACCTGGTTTTATTTGGGGGGGCGGGGGGAAGGTGCTTCTTCCTCCCCCCATGGTTATAGAGATGGAGATGCGGCAGGACTTTAAGTGATAGAATCACCATGAATTTAGCCCTTGCACTTCAGCAAGTGCCCCAAAAGCTGATCCTCCCCTTGCACTAGCAGCGGAGGTGAAAGTAAGCCGGTCTGGTCCAGTACGGCAAGAGCCGGTACATAGCCAACCGTATCGGCAGGGGGCAGCTTCCCCAGGCGGGCAATTTAAAAGAGCCCTGGGCTCCCGGCAGTGGCCGGAGCCCCGGGCCCTTTAAATCACCACCAGAGCTCCAGGGCTCCCAGCCGCAGCTGCAGCTACCATGGGGCTCCGGCGGTGATTTAAAGGGCCCGGGGATTTAAAGGCCCCCCCCTTCCGCCTGAGGCCCCACCTCTTCTGCCTGAAAGACCCCCTCCCCCGCCTGCTCAGGACCCCGGCCCTGCGTACCAGTAAGTCCCTTAAGTTACTTTCACCCCTGACTAGAAATGAAACTCCCTTGGGTCCCAGCTTGATGTACAGTAGTTGAGTCATTACTCAAAAGGGATGTGAGAAATTCACAAACTCCTGGGCGAAGTCCAGTAATGAGGACCATATTTGACATGAGTCAAGTGGAGGGTGACACACATCAAGGACTCCTGTCACTAAGGTCTCTGCTCTTATTGTGGTGCAACTGATGTGCAGAGCTGACTTTCATTATCCACCTTTTGCGCTTTTGGAGAAGCAAGTTCTTCCCTTCAAAAATCTATGCTGCGGACACTGGAAATATGCAAACATAGGGGTGGCGTTTTCCTGGCGAGGAATGAGAAAGGAATTAAGGTTTTTCACTTGTTCAGGTGCCTTTATGGCACATGAGCCTAAATCCCTATATGTAGAATTTCTGTGATGCCAATTTCTACATGAATAAGGGGAACAGAACTACAGAGGCACGTACTGTAATAATCCCTTCCTGGTCAATGTGTGTTTCCCCCCCTGAGAAGCAGCTTCACGAAGGATTTAAAATGAACGCCCTTAAAGTGAGCCACAAAAAAGCAAGTGCGACAATGCCTGTTTAATGTGTGTTAATTAAGACAGTGGCTTTAGATTCCAACATTTCACCATATAACTTAATAATAATAAAAAATCACAGCTTAACAATGCAGAGAATAAACAGAGAGGACCCGATTCTGATCTCACGCTGGGGCACCTGAGTAAATCCACTGAAAGCAACAAGAGGCGTGAATTCAGTCTCCATGTCCATCCAGTCCTCCATCTCGCTGCAAAAACTGCCATTGCTGATGATCTAATTAATACTAGTTTGGATTTACATAGCACCTTTATTCGAAGGATCTTCAAGCCTTGCACAAATATTAATCATTAAACCTTGCAACACTCTCAGAGGAAAGGGAGGAACCTGAAGTGCCTCACAAGAGAGACAG